CATGTGGTGCTGGGGGATTGAACCGCGGTCCCTGATACTTTTGCTAAGCTTGTTCTAAGTAGGTGCTTTAGACCACTGAGCCATCTCTCCAGCCCTGTATTGCCATTTTAATGGCTAAATTTAATGACTGACTAAACCACAGGCTAAGCCAGGGATGGCAAACGCTCCAGACCTTTCAAAGATAGCAGGCAGCTGGCTGCGGCACGCATGTTATAGGTTTGTCACCACTGGCCTAAGCCCTCCACCTGCATGTTTAGGCTGTTTCCAATTTTTCGCTCTCACTGATGGCAGTATAAATGATATCCTCCCAGAGAAGTCGTTAGCAAGGCCCACAATCTATTTAGGATGATTTCTAGGAAGGGAACCTCTGAGTTTGGAACACTAAGGTAAGATGGAGAAGAGTGGGTATATGGTAAAGCCCCTTGTGAATGATAAGAAAATGGATCACACATCGATTGACACTGATGCAACAGGTCTGATGAGAACATATGATGAATGTTTAAATTTAGAAATGAGGACAGTAAAAGACACATGGCCATGAATCACCCTCAAAATGCTTCTACTCACTCCTGTCATCTTGCCACTTCCTGAAGCAGCTCTAGCAGTCCTCTTTCATAGGGGTCTTTGGTTGTACTATTGTGGCTGCCCTGATGTCTTGAATCAATTGGAAATGTCCACCTTTAGGGCCTTTAGGGCCGAGCCAGAGTTGCACGGTACCAGACCCGGTGGGTAGAGATCCACCGTCGCGCTTTCACAAGCCTGACTTGCTGTCCGGGTGGGGGTGGAGGGCACTTAGCAGTAGTAGTCACCATATTTTTGATCATACCTCATAAGGACACAGAAAACCACTCCAAGAACTGCTTCGGAAAATGGCAAGAACAATCGGAAAAAGTATTTTTGAAGCAAAGGGGCATGCTTTGAAGGGGTTTGTGGCAATGTGTACTTTACTATAATATTTTAAATGAAAACATTCACTGTGTGCTGTAACCACATATATATATATATATATATATATATATATATGTATGTATATATATCAGAAATGAATTATATTTTTGCTTTAGAAGAAAACCAGCAGGTGCTGGAGTGTCGAGGAAGAGAGGCTTTTGATTGAATGCTTGTACTTTGAATTTTAAAATATTTGACTGAATTACCTATTCTCCAAATAGTGGAGTTTTAAAGATTTTGTAGTTTTCGGAGGACTTCAGCACAGGTCCCCTCGGAGCTTGGGTGTGAGTGCTTTCTGCCCAGGAGCATGTTGTTTCCCTGCGTGCTCACCAACACAAATCAGCTACATTTCAAAACATTTTGGGGCCAGTACGTTATAAAATGTGGGGTTTGATGCTGGCATTTGGTTTTGAGATTATTTGTGCATGTGTGGTATTGAGAATCAGACCCAGGGCCTTCAGAGCTGTATCCCCAGCATTTATTATTTATTATTATTTTTATTTTGGCAGAACCGGGGATTGAATTCAGATCCTTGCACTTGCCAAGGAAGTGCTTATTCTACTGAGCCATCTCCCTGGCCCTATTTTTTTATTTAGAGACAGAATCTCATTAACTTGTCGAAGCTAGAACCTGGGATCCTCCTATTTTAGGGAGATGCTACTGAAGACCCTCCTGCCTCAGCCTCCCAGAGTGCAGAATGGATGTATTTTTTCCCTGAATGGTTATCTTATTTTGTGACTTGATCAGATTCCAGGGGAGGGCAGGGCAGTGGGAAACCGCTCGTTATTTGAAGTCCATGAGTCTGGTGGCCAGTGGAGGGGCCAAGCCAGCAGGCCAGGTATAACCCTGGGCTCCGCCACACAGCACAGCCCTGCCCTTAGCATCTGGGTGTTCTTTGCGAGAACAAAACAATAATAAAAATCTTGTGCTACAGATTCCTTCCCCACCCTGCGGTGTAGAACAACAGCCAGTGTTAGCTGGCTCTGACCCAACACGAATCTCGGGAATGGGGCCAGGGAGAGAGAAGGCAGGGCTGGCAGCGCTGGGCCAGCACAGAGCCGAGAACGCAGACTAATGCCCGCTCTGGGCATGGAGCGAGGCTAAGGGCTGGGTGCAGGCCCTGAGTTGGCATCTCCCAGGACCCTACTTAGCATTTCTTCTTTCTTTGCTTAATTTTCCAGGTGGTTCTGGACCCCTGGTGTCTGACAGGCCCGGCGGGTCATCGAGGTCGAGGGGCAGCCTGAGACAGGATGATGATGCACAGGGTCTTGGGACACTGGGGAAGCACACTGGCAGGAGGTAATGCTTTGTGTTTTGAGGGATGAGTAGGAGTTTGTTAGGGAGGGAAAGGAGAGTCTCAAGAGCCGCAGGAGGGGCCAGGGAGATGGCTCAGTGGAATAAGTGCTTCCCTGGCAAGCACAAGGGCCTGAGTTCAATCCCCGGTTCTGCCAAAAAAAAAAAAAAAAAAAAAAAAGCCGCAGGAACCAAGAGACCTGAGGGGAGCCTGAAAGGGCTTTGCTGTCCGTGCCCGGCAGCTTCAGAGGCCCTCAATGCCCCGGGCAGATGCGGGACAGGAAAGCACCAGCCCTACTTTATTTCCTCACCTTTGAATTCTATAGAGCATTTCTGTGGGAAAAGGCATCGGAACCAACTTAATTCAACCTCCCTCCAACCACAGCCTCCTTCTTGTGAATTCCGAGTTTTGGGGCTTTCATTGAGGCTTGATATCCTCTGGTGACAAGGAGCTCATTCCCTCTGCTTCATTCAAGCTGATCCATGCCTCAAAAGTCTTTTGGTGGGATGCACATGATTCTATGAGGAATCTGTTCCCCTCTTGCTCACAAGAACGATCATGGAGGGTGGCTGGGGGAGGGGCAGCCTTACCTCATTAAACTCAGGATTCAAGGTTTTCTTTTTAATTTGAGTCTTGTGTTTGGCTTTCTTTCCCATGTCCGGTTTCAGCCAGCTGCCAGGAGACACGAGAGCCTGTTACACACAGACTTTAATGAAGTGTGACAGCTCTGCCATGACCCCAAAGGCCACCCTCAGCCTCAGGGTGACAGCAGAGGAGCGATTCAGAAAGCGAAGCAACACTGCCAGTGACTAATGTGCATCCGGGCATGGACGGGTTGGTGCCAGCCTGGCACCAGGCACCTCGGGCAGGCTACTCCTTTTGCATATGCAGATGCTGAGGGGACAGAGGCAGCCCTTGGGTCACACAGCTGGGGATGACACCCGCTACGGTGATGGCGGTGGGTGCTCTAGCCCCTGCTTTGCCCTGAAGGACCGAACCATGGCTGGTGGTCACACTCAGGCAGAGGTCAAAATCCGCATTTAGCCTTCTGCCCTGGGTGGCTGGAGCCCTACCCCATCCAGCCAAATCTTCCGCCAGGTTCCCCCTCCATTCCTTTTCCATCAGCCTTTCTGTCTCTGGGCCTGCCTATATGCCATTTTCTTGCCCCCTAAATCTCTTTTCCCAGGCCTGGCACACAGCAGGTGCTCAATCGAAGTTTTATGGGTATAAACACTCTAGGGGCCAAGTGTGAAAGAGACAAAGGCCAGTTATCATAATGTCCGAAGGCTAATCTCTGCCTGTAACATTGCTATTTCTGATAAAGCAAATATTTCCTAGGTGAATGAGCAGAATGGGCTTAACCCTCCTCAGGGCTGGGACAGTGGGATGCTGACCCAGGCTGTGCCCTTTGGGCCACGTTCAACTTGAACATAAACTTCCCTCAAAGATCACAACCACGTCTTCCCCCTTCACTGAACTCTGTAACTTGTAGGAAGATGCACAAGGGAGGAGCTGAATGATATCGAGGGTAATTTCTGCATTAGGGAATCTTGATCTGCTCAGAAGTGGCCTGCTTTCTGTTGCCTTTCCCTGAGTGCAGCCACCGGGTAGCTATTGCGGGGTGACTGCGCCCCTCGGCCCCTTCTGGCAGGACTGGGTGGGAGGGTTATTTCAGGAGCCAGCCTGCATGTGGCTGAGGGCTCATAGCCTGTAGGGAGAGCAGGGCTGGGATCATTTTCTCTCTGGGGTCAGAGGAGGAAGCAAAACCAAATGACTCTGAGAAATCATACTCCTCCTTGACATGTATGTTGTTTAAAATCATAGAAACACCATTCATAGAAAATCCAGCCCACACTGGCCTTTTAGTAGCCCTGGGCTTAATGGAAGTTTTACTCCCTGTACGCAGCAGAGGTGAGGGTGGGGCGCCTCCCAGCCAGAGAACACTAAGAATTACTCTTTACCACGAGCCAGCAGAGCAATGGTATTACTGATAACCACAATGGTAGGTATTTACTGAACACCTACTATGCGCCAAAGCCAATGAAATGACACCTCTCAGAGATCTCCAGCTGCAGGGGCTGGACCAGAACGGAAAAGCTACCCGGCTGTGAGCTGACAATCATGCTTCCCTCAGCCAATCACAGGCCTGCGGGGCGGGGCAGTCCCTGGTGAGGTGGGTGGGCTCCTCCCACGCATGGCTCTGTGCTCAGGGGTTCCCCAGCACCTGACTGAAGCTTTCTGGAAGGATGTCCTGCTCCAACTTCCTCCCTACCCTGCTTCCTTGATAAATCAGAGCTTTGGCCCACACTGTTGTCCCCGGGGCCTCTGTGTCTTCCTGCCTCCCCCATGGGCACTTTCCCCAGCTAGTCATATCTCAGCCTTTCTTAATGTCTCCTCCTTGGAGCTCCTGAACTAATAGTGTGCAATGTTCCTCTCTCTACAGATGAGGCTGCTGAGGCCCAGAGAGGTTAAGCCATAAGCCCAGTGTCACACAGCTAGAGAATTCTGGAGACTATCAGAGCAGTCGGAATCCGGGTCCTTAACCATACCCAAGAAAGCATGCATTTTGCTGCCACAGGGCAAGGCAGCATTCTGCTCTGGTGCCCAACATTTTTGCACTGGGCGCGGTTCAATGTTTTTTTTTTTTTTTTTTTTTCCCAGAACCGGGGATTGAACTTAGGCCCTTGCGCTTGCCAGGGAAGCGCTTATTCCACTGAGCCACCTGCCCAGCCCCTCAATGGTTTTATGTAGGTTGGTCATCTCTAATCCAAAAATCCAAAATCATAAATGCTCCCAAATCACACACTTTTAGAAATCTGAACGCTGCACCCCTGACTTTATGTGATGGGGGGGGGGGCAGTCAAAACACAGATGCACTAAAAATACTGTACAAACTTATCTGCAGGCTGTGGCGGAAGGTGTGTATGTAACCTAAATGGATTTTGTGCCTAGACTTATGTTCCATCCCCACACATATCATTATGGAGATGCCAATAAATTCGAAATTCCAAGAAAGTACAAAAGCGGAGACACAGCTCACAGCATTTCGGGTATCTGAAAACGTTCACAGTGTATGAAGTCTCCTTTGAACCCTGCGCCCCCTCTTGGCGATAAAAGGAACTACAATCTCCACTTTGTGGGCGCTGGGCCCTGAGTGACAGCATGATTCATGAGCTTGGATCTGTCTTTTATCCCCCAGGATCGAGGGTCCTAGAATGACCCTCAGGTCTCAGGTCTATCTTTGGAGCATTTGCGGGGTTCTGAACTTCTCCAGGGAATGCAACTGACTTCTGAGGGTTCTAGAGGGCTGCCATGACCATGCCACTTGGCCCCAGGAGGGACAGAATCACAAAGCTTTGCCTGTGGCAGGTGCCACACCGCCAAACACCTAAGATGCCAGCCTCCCACTCTAGTACCCATGTCACTGAGACTCTAGGCAGGCTCATTCCCCTTCTGAGTCTCCGTGTGCTTGTACTTGGGGAAGCCCCCTGGCTCTCCAAGGACTGGAATCCTTATGGGCCCTTCGGGGTCCTGAGGCCTTGACTCACAGTTTGACGAAGGGGTCTGAGTAGCCATTGGCGTCCATGGCGGCCAGGTGCACGCAGCGGATGATGCCCACGATGAGGCCTCCTTGCTGAGTGCTGTACATCAGGGACACCAGGATCTTGCCACGCTCTTCTATGTCACCAATACGCTCCACTTGCTGCATTGGGGGAAAGGCACCAGGGGCTAGGAGGGCCGGGGCAGGGCTGGGACAGGCAGGCACTGGGGCCACTGTAGAGTGCAGCTCGGTGGTGCGGGTCAGCACCACGGACAGCGACACCGCCCAAGGAACCAAGGGGGTCCGCGGAGCCCTGACCCTGAGCATTCAGCAAGCTTGAACTCGAGTCCTGAGTGACCCTCATTCTGACCCGAGGCTGAGGCTTGACCCTGGCTCCAGCCAGATCTAGGACTGTGATCGCAGACTCCTGTGACCTAAGCAATCTTCTCAAAGGTACACAAGCTGGGTCCACGTGGGAGCCCAGCAGAAGACATGGAGATATTGTCCTTTGTCTGCCAGGTACCCAGCCTGAGGAGCCTTCCCATGTCCCCATGGTAGGAAGAGGGTGTCACTGCTCTCCTTTCATATGGACGCCAGCCGAACATCATGCTCAAAACCAAAAAATCCCTCAGGTATCCAGGGTGTCAGAGGCTGGCTGCCCCCTTGGAGGCTTTAGGTGTGGGGAGGACCCCGGGTCTCACTGGGGTGAAGGGCCACTCTCCTGCTGACTCCATAGGCAGGCAGGCATGCAGTCACAGGGTGAAAGGGATGGGGTCAGGCAGGAAGGGAAGAGAATGGGGCTCCGCTTCCCACCCCGGCTCACCTCCTCTTCGTAAAGGGCCATGCCGCGGGCTGAGCCAGTGGTCCCTGCACGCTTCATCTTGATGGGAGGAAACAGAATGAAGAGGACATTGTCCATGGGGTTCCTTGCTCCCTAGGAAGCCCCAAGTCCTCCGTTCTGTCAGCACCCAGAGCCATGAGGTGGGATTTCTGAGCCCCTGCAGCTCTTGAGCTCCCCCTCCCAGCTGCAGTGCATACGACACCAACCTGCAGCAGGTCAGGTGAGTGTGTTGCCACTCAGGACATGGGCTCCCTCCCCACACCCAGTCTGCAAACCAAGATGCTGAGGAGTAGAGTAGTGGGAAAGCAATCTCCTCAGCATCAGAGCACCCCACAGAGGAATCGGAAAGCTTGGGCTGAATGGCTCAGGGACTTGGGGTCTGCTCCCCTGGTGTTGCTTCCCCACCCTGTGGCCCCAACGCTGTGAAGAACAGTTTTTAAACCACGGGTTAAATTCAGCCTGCCTACTTTACAAATGAGGAAATCCAGAGTCCACAGAGGGGATAGCAGATCCTCAGTGGGGGTACAGCTGCTGACAGGAATATGAGGGCAAGGAACTGAAGAGGATCAACCTTGTCCTGGGCCACAGCAGCCCCCATCTATCCCACTGTCTCTGTGTCCCAGGCTGGCTGTGTCCATCCAGCAAGATGGGCAGAGCCTGGAGCTGATGGCCCAGGTGGGAGTCTGACCACTGTCCTGACCAATGGCGCTCAGGGAGCAGGGGGGGGAAGGAGGGGGTGGCACATCCAGCTGTACTCAGGGCAGCAAGGGATTTGTGAGGAACCCGGCAGGCAGCACCAACCTTCCCCATAGTTCCTCTTGTGGTATCTGCTTCCTGTGCTTGAGTTGTGAGATCAGAGCCTGACAACCAGCCAGTCCACCCTCTGCCAGCCACTTGGCCCCTGCCCAGGGCCCACACACCAAGAGCAGGCTGGGTCACCTCAGAAGAGGCCATTGATGCGTCCCCTTCCTCCCTAAGCGGGGGCCTCCAGAAGGTCCCTCCACACCCTTGGTTTGTCAATCTCTGGTGTTTGAATTCCCTGGTAGCGCCTGAGATGCAGCCCAGCAGGAGAACCTCAGCCCACTCCTGCTCTTCTTCTAAGGCCAAGGGCCACAGCCAAGGGTGACATCAGTTCTCAGGCATCACAAACAGCCACACTGGTGCACGAAAAGACCCTGCCATGCGGGTTGGATCTCATCCCAGTTTATAGAGGAGAAAACTGAGAGTTAAGGACCTATCACTAGGATTCAGTCTGCAGAGTCGGGATTTGAAGCCAGGGCCTCCGGCTGCAGAAGCACATTCTCAGCCACCAAGAGGATGTGGATGTCATGATTGACAGGTGGACCGATAGCATTATTTTCTATAATGATGGCTGTGTGTTTATGAATGCTCATTGCACAGCAGATTCTGTTTTCTAAACACAACCATCCCATGAGCAGGCACTATTGTGATACCCATTTTGTAGAAATATTTTCTCAAAAAACAGGCTCAGAGTAGTTCAGTCCCTTGGCTAAAGCCAAGGAGCAAGGAGTTGCAGGGCTGGCCTCTGGTCCCCACTGACACTGGAAAGTCAAAGGAGGAAGAGACAGCTTTGATCTCCTGAGCAGAAATCGTCACTGTCCTCGATGGCTGCCGCAGCCCTCTGTTTAAGAGCCTGTGGACCCATCCTCGCTGCAGACCCTGAAATCCGGTGGAGTGAGGTACTCACCGGAATCACCCGCTCCAGACAGATGTTGAAATTCTTCCTCTGGTTTGGTTTCAGTTTCTTAAGCGAGAATCTCGTTTCACCGATGAACTCATTGTGGCCAAATTTGTCCTCGTCACAGACAGAGATCCTGCCGGGGGGGATAGGGAGTATGGAGAGAAAGAGCAACAGGTACTGAACTCCTACGTGCCAGAGCTGTCGTCTGTGTCAACAAGGATTGTGGGCAGGGTCTAGGAGGGACACGGAGCCTAGTTAGGGACCGTGGGCCAGGGCCTCGCTCTTCTGCTTCGCTACAGTGTGACTCACCTGCCCCAAAGGGTAGACCTGGGCACTGGCTTGGAGCCAGCCTGGTGAGTTTGCGCATGTGCATACGTGGTTACTCACTGCGCATGTGCACACAGGAGTACTCAACCAGCTCGGGTCGGGAGGAGGGCGTTCTTGCCCAGAGGGGATGTGGGGGGTGAGGGTGGGATAGGGAGTGCTCAGGACCCTCCTCACTCACTAGCTGCACCCCCCAGGCAACCGCCGTCTTGACCTCTGGCTATATGGGGCCATTTGTCCTGTCTGACCTCCACTTTCACCTAAATTTGTGCCCCCTCCCTCCTTCTTTTACTGGAGATCCTTAGCCCTCATTGATTGATTGAGTGAGTGAGTGATTGCTTGACGGGTTGAGACACAGTCTTGCTAAGGTGCCTAGGCTGGGCTCAAACCTGTGACCCTCCTGCCTCAGTCTCCCAGAGTTCTGGGACTACGGATGCGTGCCACCATGCCTGGCTTTTGCACAGCTATTTCCAAGTGGGCAGGTCCCCTCCTGCTCCCTCTCTGCCGCGCTGCGGGCACCTGAGCGTCTTCCTCTGCATGTCCTCGTCCGTGATGCCGTGGTATACGAGGGTCTCATTCCAGATGGGGTTCCGGGTGTTGCGCAGAGTCTTTGTCCGGAGCTTGTTGGACTAGAGCCGAGAGAGTGTCAGACAGACTCAACTCCCCTGAGCCGCCCACAGCCCCATCCTCTGAGTGGCTTTAGGGTGGGTAGTGGCTTCCCCTGAAGGAGTGTCCAGGGCGAATCATCCCCAAGTGCATGTTCTGGGGGCTGGGATCTCCAGGGCAATGGCCACAGACAGGTGGCTCAATGGCTGGCGCTCACCCCTGCTGGAGTGCCCCACCAGCATAAAGAAGCAGAGATACCTTCCCTGGAGACACCCCTGGCATGCATCTATGGGCCAGGGAGGTAGAAATGAGTCTCCCATTCCTACGGAGCGTTCTTGGGGTGTTCCCTCTGCTATGCCAAATAGTGACACCTGAAATAGCTTAGAGAGGAGCAAATTTTTCATTTTACTTTGAAAGGAAAGGCTAGAAGCGCAACTGTATCCAGAACAAGTAGCCTGGTTACAAATCTAAATCATACCAACATCTAAATGGCTCCTGTTGGATTCTTTTTTTTTTTTTTTTTTTTTTTAATTTTAGGGAAGGGTCTACAGGGTGTCCAGGGTCCCACTACTAGATCAGACGCATAGTGATCCACCTGTTTACAGCCTCCCAAGAGCTGGGATTACAAATGCGCGCCACCACGCCCAGTCTCAGTCGCCCTCTCAGTGCACCCTGGGGGCGGGGCCAGCACGGCAGGCCTGAGGATCGAACCCTGCTCCTGTGCCTGCTTGTAGGCACTTTAATCTGCTGAACTATTTGGCCGGCCCTCCTGTTGGATTCTTTGGTCAGACAGATTTCAGTTTAAGAGTGCACAAGGAGAGTATTCTGTTTTGTTTCATTTTCCACTCTCTGCGCTGAGCTTCACTTTCAGCTCTTTTTTATTTTTTCTTTCTTTCTGTTTTTCAGGACAGAGTCTTGCTAGATTGCTCAGACTGGTCTCAAACTTGTCAGTCTCCTGCCTCAGGCTCAAAGAATGCTGGGATTACTAGTGTTCGCTGCCACACCTGGCTAAAGAGAGGGTCACGATGCAAAGCATGTGTTGCTGGGGAAGTGGCAGTGCAGGAGCAAACAGTTCACAAGCTGGCCATAGCCGGTTGAAGGACAATTTTTGATCCAAATAAACTAAGACTGGGAGAAAGTGTGTGGACATGTGTGTTCATGTGTGTGCATGCATGCACGTGTGTGCATGCATATGTGTGTGTGCATCCATGCATGTGTGTGGATGCATGTGTATGATTGCATGAGAGTATGTGTGTGTGTGTCTGTGCACACACATGTGTCCTTGGTTTCATGAAGCATCTGACACTTGCAGAGGCCCTTCCAGGCATTTCCCAGGCCTGTCGGCCAATGTGCTGTCCCTTTGTTAATTAACATGGCAAGGCACCCAGGAGGACGCCCTTCATGTCCAGCCCTGCACCGGTGTCAGCCCCGGAGCCCCAAGTGCTCCAACGTGAGCTATGAGGAGGGCCTGGTGTCAGGTGACTGGGGGAGGAGTGGGGTGCACAGGGAGCCCCACAGGTCTGGGAACAACTCAGGGCCCAGCCCGGCTTCAGCCTCCCTTCCAGCCCTTGCAGCACTGTGGCCCCAGGTTCAAGCTGGAGGGAGGAGCAGAACCCCTGACCACCTCGGTCTCAGCCACATGGGGGCTTTGCTGACAAGGCAGGGCGGGGACATGGGCCAGGTGGGCTCTTTTAGGCTAGGGCTGAGAGCCCAGGTGTGGGCCAGGCTTGCTGAGCTGCCACCAGATGGTACCTTACTGGCTCCCGGCAGGAGGTGCAGTTTGACATAGGGATCGGCCAGGCCGTTGGAGTCCATGGGCTTCAGTCCCTGCAAGAGAAGCCAGCCGGGGCATGAGGCAAGGACACAGCCCCAGTGTCTGTCCCACCTGGCTGTTCTCTCTGTGTGCCTCTTCTTAGGAAACAGTGCTGGGGAGAGTACTAGGCTCAGGGAGTCAGGACCTAGAGATGTATTGTTTCCAAGTGAGCTGTGTGACTTAGGAAAGTATCTTAACCTCTCTGAGCTTCAAGAATCACTGGTGAAATGGTAATGAGAACATGGAGTGGCAGGCTGAAATGCAGTTCTGCCAGGATACAGTGAGCACCCAGCTAAAGCTAGAGTAGTCTGCTAGGGTGGGTGCAGCATAGAAAGGTGGACGAACCAGTAGGTTTGTCTGCTACAGAAGGAGAGATCGGGGAAGGAGGAGACTCCTGAGTTCTGGCCCTGACCACACACTCACTCCTGAGACCTCAGCCTCCCATTCCCCGCCTGTACAAAAGGTCCATGAAAATCTCCTGGGTTTCAGTGAAGAGGAATCACGGTGCTGCAGGAGCTGACATCATGGTGTTATTTGCAGGGCGGGTGCTGAATACACCACAGCACACATGGGCAGTGCCTGGTACACAGCAGGAGCCCAATCAGTGCGCACGGCCGAAGTGGTGTGGGAGGGAAGACAGGCTGTCTGGGGGTATGGAATGGAAGGGAAACCCTTACTTAGCTCAGCAGGAAGCCGGCCTGGGCAGAGCTGAGGTCTGGCTGCCAGGAGGTGGCCACGGATAAGCGCAACCCTCTGGAACTGTCCCTGGAGGAGGCGGGGACATCCACTATGTCTGTGACCCCCCTGTTCCCATCACCATGGCTGTCATGGATAGGCAGCAGCAGGATGCAGCCCTGGAGCTGTCCTCGCCTGAGCATCCTCACCCACCTTAGCCTTTAGGATGGTGCACTGCAGGGAGCTGTTGTCCTGGTCGTAGAGAAGGCTGAATTCCAGGGCACCCAGGGTGGCTGAAGGGGTAAGACAGGAACCGGGAGGACAACTGGTCAGTCATTCAACACACTCTTATGAGGTGCCCAGTGCAGGCCAGGCATGGAGACTACAGAAGACAAGAAGCCTCGAGCCCAGTCCAGCCCCCCCATCCCGGCATTCTCCTCCCTTAGCACCTCTGTGCATGCACGCATGAGCAGTTGTTCAGCTACACACTTGCTGCGTGAATGGCTTCCCATCTGGCTGCAGAGGCCCAAGTAGGCAAGGCTCAGGACTGTGTTGCTGCCTCTGTCCCCGCTGTGCCCAGTCAGGGCACCCTTAGATGCCTCCTTACTTCCTGCAGGGACAAACGCTCTCCCTCTACACCCTCACATAGCTAACAGCGCCTTCCTCTCCACATCTCTGCCTAGATATCACCTGCTCGCAAAACCCTTCCCGTCGCTGCATCCAGTGCAGCTGCCCCCAGGTCACTCAGCACAGTGCCTCTCTTTTAGGAGCTCCTGTCTTGATTGGAAGTGGATTTAATGGAGCGGTCTCTCTCCACTAGAATGCTAGTGCCAGTCAATTGTTCTGCTCATCTGCTGCCTTTTGTTGTGGTATCCAAGTGTGTGGGACCGTTTGAAGCATTTAGTACATGCCCAGTAAGCTCATCTGCTACAGAGGTATGTGAGGAGAAGGAGAAGGAGGAGGGGGAGGAGGAGGAGGGGTAAGGAGGGAGAGGAGGGGGAGGAGGAGGAAGAGGGGGAGGAGGGGAGGGAGGAGGACATAAAGGGGGAGGAGGATGAGGGGGAAGAGGATGAGTGTGAGGAGGAGGGGGAAGAGAAGGAAGAGGGGGAGGACGAGGGGGAAGAAGATGAGGGCAAGGAGGAGGAGAAGGGGAAGGAAGAAGGGGAGGAAGAGAGCAAGGAAGAGCAGGGCAGAAAGAGGAGGAGGGTGAGGAGAGGAGGGTGAGGAGGAAGAGAGTGAGAAGGAGGAGGTTGAAGATGAGGAAGGTGAGGGGGAGGAGGTTGGAGACAGTCCTATTAATATGCATGAGTCAGGCATATTAAACATACAGGCCTAAGTCAATGATAGGCCCAGTGCATTTCTGGGGCGGTGATAGCCCTGGCTGAAGAGGCAGCACAGTCTTCTAAGTGCCAACCCCTGGCACATGAGACAGCATAGGGGACACAGGGCACAGCTGGCACTTCCCCAGGCCTGGCTGTCAGCCCCTCTCTCCAGCCCCATTTGTCACAGTGGAGGGGGACAAGGGCTGTCATGGCTTTGCCAAGGGGGTTCAGTGAGCAGCCACACACAGCAGGCTCAGCAGTCCCTGGCACAGGGTGCGCGTGCCAACCACGTCACCACCGGAACCTCAGATGTTAGGAGTCACACAACAGCTACTCGTCCTGTGCCTGGAGTGCCGTGAGAAAACAAACGCTTAGTAAGACCCTATCTCTATTTTATTTTTTGGAGACAGGGTCTTTCTACGTAGTCTAGGCTGGCCATGAACTCCTGGCAATCCTGCTGCTTCAGCCTCCTGACTGCTGGGATTACAGGCAGCTCAAAATGGAAAGAAAAAAAAAAAAAAAAAAAAAGGTCTGGGAATGTAGCTCTGTGCAGAGGCCCTGGGTTCCACTCCCAGGGCTGCAAACTAGAAAAAGGGTGACAGCATGCAGACCATGAAGCACCCTCTAGGAGGTGCCTCAGCTTACCTGCCCCACAACCAGCATCTACTTCCCAGTGTGCAGTGAGCCAAGGCCATGCCACTGTGCCAGGCTTCACCCTAGGTCCTTGTGGCTCAATGTCCCTTCTGAACCAGACCCCAGACCTCACGGTACATCCTACACTTGCAAACCTCATCTCCCTGTCATCCTCTGAGAGGTACACAGGAACTGTTAATAAATTACCGAAGGAACAGATGCAAGAGGAAAGGTCTAGTGGCTTAAAATCCTGATTAAAAATCACTGTTAGAGGACACCTGCTAAAACACTTGGGCATGCTCATCTATCAATAGCCATGCCCAGGAGTGTGCGTGGGGGGCACACGAGGGTCCTGTCTACCAAGGAGCTGCAGACTGCGCTCGGGGAGTGAAGGCAATGCCACCTCATTGAAATCTTTAAGATGATTAGAATAAGCTGAGGGTGAGGGTGCACACCTATAATTTCAGCACACCGGGAGGCTGAGGCAGAAGGATCGTAAGTCTGAGCCCAGCCTGGAAACTTAGTGATGGAGCAAGACCTTGTCTCAAAGCACAAAAGGGCTGAGGATGGAGCTCAGCGCAAAGGCCCTGGGTTCAATCCCCAGTCCCGCAGCAACACAGACAAAAATGATGCAAATGGTAACTCTGGTGTGTATCTTACTACCATGGCAACTATCCCCTATAGTGCCCATTCTGTACAGCACCGATGCTGCTTGGTGAGCACAAGTTTACGCCCATGGCTTTGCATGCTGACTGGTCTCGGCATACAGGGGTTAGGGTACCCCAGGGGCCAAGGGCCACCCCATCCTGCACCTACTTGCTTCATCTGAGTCGTAGCTGTTGGCCTCCTCTTCTTCCTCCTCCGGGGGTGGTGGGCGGGCTGAGGTGGCTGGCTGGGGGACAGCAGCAGATGCTTGGGAGTAGGGTCCCGGGGTTGGGGCTACTCTTTCTTCCCTGGCTCCCCCTGTCCTCTCCTCCCGGGCTGGAGCAGAGGCTCCCGGATAGCCAGGGTCAGCTGAAGCCACCTCTATAGGGACAGAGGAGAGGACACAAAAGAGGCAGCTGAATCCCTGGCATAACTAGGGAAGCTTTCAAAATGCATGTTCCCTGGCCCCACCCAGAATTAGTGGCCTGTGGCAGGGCCTTGGGGTCTATGTCCAACAGCTGAGGTGCTTCCGATGTGGCTGAGACAGGGCTGGTTATCAGTGTCAACTTGAGCCGAGATACCCTGAGTTTGAAACTCAGCTGCACTACTTTGGGAACATTAAATAATGTCTCCAGGCCTCAGTTTCCTCATCTTTAGAATGGGAGTTGTGATACCCAAAGGCATTGCAATAGTTGCACGGGGGATTTTAAATGATGACCTGATATCTGTAGCAGGAAGCAGTGGGGATGCTGTAGCCGTGACAACAGATGGTGCAGGGCAAACATAGGGATCTGTCTCACATTGCAGATTGGGAAACAGAGGCTCAGAGATGATCAGCAAATTGTCCCAGTCACACAGCCAAGGAGTGGAGGCCCAGGGACTGAGCCACCCATCTGGGCCCTTAGCCACCTTGGGGCTGGCATTTTCTTTTCTTTCTTTCTTTCTTTCTTTCTTTCTTTCTTTCTTTCTTTCTTTTTTTTTTTCTTTTCTTTTTCTTTCTTTCTTTTTTTTTTTTTTTGGTAGAACTGGAGATTGAACTCAGACCCTTGCGCTTGCCAGGGAAGCGCTTATTCTACTGAGCCATCTCCCCGGCCCCTGGGGCTGGCATTTTCTATCTATCGTTAGTACAGTGGCCGGGCCTGTGGAATTAGGTCGCCCGCTGTGCCCCTTGGAAGCTCGGGAAGGTGGTGTCCCCATCCTCTGGCCGGGAGGAAGCACACACTTGCCTGCTCTCTGGTCTGGAAAGCTTCCCGCGGGCCCAGGAGCCGCTCTGCCGCCCCCTGCTGGTCCTGCGGGACAGAGAAAGAGACAGTGGACTGTAGGGAGGGCTGCTGGGCGTGTGCACAGGACCCAGGGAGCCACAGGGAGGTCACCGGGGCTGCAGGACAGCCCCATAGCGGACTGGGGGTCAGAAAGACCCGGCTCAGGCCCTGACACTGTCTGCCCTCCCTGCACCTCCAAATCCTCTGGGGATGCTGCAGGTGGGGAGAGGAGGAGCACCCTCCTCTCCCCGCCTGGGACAAGATCTCCCTCCTCCCTTATCCTCCCTCTCCCTTCCTCTCCTCTCGGCTCCACCCCTTTTTTCTGCCCCTCCTGCCCCTCTCCCCTGTGGGCCCAGCTCTGAGTCCGCATGCGCGTCGTCGCAGTGCCTCAGAAGAGCTTAAGACCGGGTAGCAGCTGCAGCTTTGCTCAGGTCCCAGCGGCTCTCCAGCGTGAAAAGCGGCCAGAGGGACTGGGGACACACTGGTGGGCGGGGCACGTACCTGGTGCCCCTGGCTGAGGAGGTGCTGGGCTGGGACCGGAGGCTGCAGGGCGCGAGGCCTGGACCGAGTTGGTGCGTCTCAAGCCTGCGGGACAAAAACAGGAGACAGCAGTCGTTGATTCACGCTGCACACATGCACACGTTCTGGGCTCTTCTTGACCTTTGTTATCCAGGCTGAGGTCAAACTTGAGACTCCCCCACCTCTGCCCACAGGGTAACTGGAATTACAGGCCTGCACCAGCGCACCTGTCCATGCATGCGGACTCAGGCTCCACAGGCAAATCCCAGCCTCGGCAGGCTCGCTGAAAAGCCCAGGCTCTGTGATCCTACCTCCTTCCCCCTGTGTGACTTTGCACCAAAGATCCACTCTCCTGGGCCTCAATTTTTCATCTGTCAAATGGGGATAATAGCACCTGCCTAGAGAGCTGAGGAGCTGAACAGTGCAGTGGTCAGCACAACACAGGAGATGCAGTCTAGTTTTGTTACAGGTCATCTGCTTATGGACTCAGCTTTGGATCCCAGCTTCTTTCTTTATAAGCTGTGTGACCTGGGCCACTCACTCACCCTCTCTGAACCTCAGGGGCCCCTTCAGGGCAACAGCTCTGCCGCCTGCCAAGGTGTTTGCATGCTTTCCGGGCCTACCTGTGCCTGGGACTGGGAGTAGGAGAACATGTGCACTCTCCGCCCCCCTGGCCCTAAGCCTCTGTGGTTCCCCCACTGTCCTCCTTGTCAGCATCTGTCATAGTGGTTGCAATGCCCAGCTGTCATTTCTAGGTAACTAAGCTGCTTCTTTCATGGGACCATGAGCTCCTAAGGTCTGGGAGGATGGCTGGCTGGTGGCTTGGGATACAGAGGGTGTGGAAGACATACTTGTTCTATGTGCGATATGCCAGTGATGCCAGGAACCCATCAGCAGTAGAATGGGCTTCTCTGTGAGGTAGTGAGTTCCCCAGGACAGAGGGCGTGCAAGTAGCAAATGGCCAAGTCCACCTCGGGAAACCTCTCAGGAGTTTCCACACTGTGTGAGGCTGGACGGAAGGCGTCTCACTGAAGCTTTCCCCGCTGAGCTATTCTCAGCTCTCCAGTTGGGCTCTGCTTGTGAACTGCTTGGGTTCAAACACCAGCCAGGCCATGACTTTCATGTGACCTTGGGTGTGTCCCCCCACTTTGCCTTATCCCTTAAAGGAGGAAGGGGATAATAGCAATGAGCTGGAGAGAACTGTTGGTGGGATTGAGATAATTCCTGCCCAGGCTTTCATCCCGTGCCTGGGCAGAGTAGGTGCTCAGTACATTTGAGTTGTTACTATTAGTCATTCAGGGGCTGGGTGTTGCTCAGGGGCAGATGTGAGGTTATGGGTTTGGGTCTCTAGGACAGTCACAGAAAGAAAAGGCTATTTGAGCTGAGCATGGTGGGGCACACCTATAAGCCCAGCACTCAGGAGGCTGAGGCAGGAGGATCGCTGTGAGTTTGAGGCCAGCCTGGGCCACATAATGAGTTCAAGCCAACTGGAGCTACATAATGAGAGCTTTCCCAATAATAAATAAATAGCCATGGAAATCTGCAAACCTTTGAGAACCTATAATTAGCCAGGAGTCTCAGCATAGGCTGGAAAAGGCTTCCTGGACGGCAGTAAGCACCACCTCGGGCCCCAGGCTGACATGGATACCCAGAAGAGCAGTGGATCTGGCTGACATGGAGCGGGGAAGGGGGCAGAAGGGTCACAGACACGGGGAACATTTGCACCACACTTGAGGGACAGGAGACCCGAGTCTAGCTCAGGAATGTCCCGAGGAGAGGCAAGATAATGGAGAGGTTGAAAGGCAAGAGTTGATGTAGAAAAATTAACTCAGAGTGCATCAGAACTCTCAACATAACAGCCAGAACTACAAAGGTCTTAGAAGAAGCATACAAGGAAATTGTCACGGCAATGATGCCTTGGATGTGACACTAAAAATACGGGAAGCAAAAAAGAGTTAGATTAGACTCCATAGAGTTGAGGGGTTCTATGTACCAAATGACACTGCTATCAAAGAGGCAAAGCAACTCACAGCAAGGTGAAAGTATTTGTAGAATATACATCTGGCACTGATACCAGAGTGTGCAAAGAGTTCCCGTAACTCAGCAACAAAGAACAACTCAACTTGAAAAACATGGGCCAAGAATTCAAGCATGCATTTCCATGAAGCGGATCGACAGAGGCCCAAAAGGCACGTGGCAAGATGGCCGACGTCTATGACCTTTGGGACAAGGCAAGCTAAGTCCACAGGACCACAGTGAGGCCACTTGGCACTCCCTGGAATGGCTGTCATTTAAAAACAAGACAAAACACAAACAAATGAAAAATGAAATAACAACTGTTCATAAGGATTTAAAGAAACTGGAAGCCTTATGCATTGTTGGTGGGATGGGATAGTGGGTAGAGACCGTGGAAAATAGCATGTTGATCGCCAACAAATCACACGCAGAGTTGCCACCTATAAATATGTACTTGCAAAGATAGCTGTACATCATGTTCACAGGTATGCACTGTTCATAGCAGCCTAGATGTGGGAACAACAAAATACCCAAGGCCAGCTGAGAGGACAGGAAGCACGGCACATCCATGTGGTGGAATATTACATCACCATAAGCAGGGAGGAAATTTAGACACATGTTACAACATGGATACAGCCTAAAGATGTTGTGCTAAGTGAACTAATACATAAGCCATATTATAAATGTTGGATGATTCCATTTATTTATTTATTTATTTATTTATTTATTTATTTATTTTTGGTGGAACCAGGGATTGAACTCAGGCCCTTGTGCTTGCCAGGCAAGCACTTATTCTACTGAGCCATCTCCCCGGCCCTGATGATTCCATTTAGATAGCACAGGCATCTAACATAGTCAAATTCATAGACATAGAAGGAAGAGTAGTAGTGATGGGGGAGAGGAAAATGGGGTGTTACTGTTTCGCAGATACACGATTCCTGCTTGGACTGGTGAAAAGCTCCCGGATGGCTAGTGAGATGGTTATATAGCAGTGACAGCATGCTACTGAGCGTCACTGAATTGTACCCAGAGGAATGACCAAGAAAGTAAGATCTGTAAATGGATAAGGAACCAAAAATAAGAGCAGAAACTATAACTCTCGAGAAGAAAACATAAAGGGAAAACATAAAAGTATAGGCTTCAGGACTGGACGGTGTGGACTGAGTTCTCATTCTAACCAAATATCAGCTGGGTGACTGAGGGCGAGGTGGCTCCACCTGTCTAGGTCTCCTTTTTTCTATTTGTAAAATGGGAATAATGTGACTCAGACCTGGGTCTGGGGTCGTGGCAAGGATTCAGGGAGAGAATAGATGTTAGGAGTTTAAGATGGTGCGTGGCATGTGGCAAACACTCACAGAGTGCTAGGAATGCATCTTTCCCTGTCCACCAACCACGAGGCCCCCTGCGGTTGTGGGCAGCACACGGCACCTGCCCAGCTGGGAACGGAGGTGCTAAGTCAGGAGCCACAGTGCAGGAAGAACAGGCAAGAACTCAATCTGAGACTGAAATACTCAGCTGATGTGACCCAGAGCCAGGCTCAGCCCCCACTGGCAAAGCAATGAAGCTGCTCGGGGCAGGGTTAGGAACATAGATTTTGCCAGACAGGAACTGTGCCACTGAACTAAATCCCCAGCCATGCTTTCTTTTTAGGAGCAAGAAAAGAAAACAACCAAAATTGTATGAATCTTGTCTTTCCTCTACCATAGACTAGAACCAGTGTCCAGAACAGGATGCAGTGCAGTGTAGGCGCTCCATAAATACCAAGTGAATAAAGAAATGAAAACCTTCTCCTCTGAGTTCTTTTGGTTTCTTCTAGGGCCCATCGAAATTCGCCACCTCTCTCACCTGCAGGGCTCCGGCTGGCATCTCCAGCACCCCCACTGTGGCCATGGTCCCAGCTCTCGGAGTCCCGGGGGGCTGAGGTCATGCGTGCCTCTGAGGCTCTGCGCACGGGAGGCCCATAGCCTCCTCGGCCAGGGGCGGAGGCGGGGTCGGGCCCTGCAGGGGAAAGCGGGAATTGAACAGAGAAAGGCGGTGGAGGAATGGGGTGGAAGGGCTGCTGTTCCAAAGCTTAAGACAGAGGCACAGACCCACCTGGCTTCTGACCTGGGCCCCTCCTGTCCTCAGTGTCACCTGGAGAGAGAGGAGGGGAGATAACAGTGTCTGTGGAGTATTTATTTATGAGGCTGTAAAGGGCTCATCTACCTCTCCTAAAAACATTTTAAAAACTGAGCCCCCTTCCAATCTTCCCCTAAGCTAGCTGGTGTTTACAATTTTATTGTATTCCCTTTGCACGCCCAACCACCTATGAGCACACAGAGACTTAAGAATCGCTCCGCTGTGATCTTTGAAGCCAAGAAGGAGTCATGCATGACCAGGATGGGGGCGCTCTAGAGGCGGAAGCTGGGCCCTATTCCTCCGGGACACCGCCCTAGCCCTCAGCGGACAGTAGGGCAGATCCCCACCAGAAGCGGAGATTGCTGACGCCTCGCCAGGAAGAGAGCATTTGTTGAATGCCTTCTGGATGTCATACGTCGCACGTGCTAGGGAACTTTGAAAATCACTTTATGAGAATGTGGGTGCTTAGTTTTGCTTTTGTTTTTCCAGCACTGACGATTGAACCCGAGGCCTTCAGATTGAGCTACATCGCTGGCCCTTTAAAATTCTTTTAAAAACAATTTTTACAGCTTCTCACTAAGTTACAAGGTTTCTCATGCTGGGTTTGAACTTGCAATTCTCCTGCTTTGGCCTCCTAGAGTGCTGGGATTAGAGGTATGCCCACCATGCTTGGTTTATGAGGCTCCAGTTTTTGAGAACTTCAATGAAATAACCCTCCTTTTCAGAATCACAACCTGTGCTCAACTCCAGTGTTGCTACTGAGACCAGATTTGATTGCTTATTGTTAGTTGAAATTATTGCAAGGGCTTTCTGGTCAGTCCAAGAGACCTAATCCAATTAAAGCATGTTTTTTTATTGCGATTTGCTTTAATTGCTGTTTTTCCTCCCTTAGTTATCATTTTAAAAATTAATGATAACACTTGTATAATAGTGATAATACCAATAGCAGCGATATTTTTCTTTTACTAAATTCATTTCAGTTCATTTTTCACTTTTAATTAGTTCAATTTCAGACTTGCTTATAGCTGGTAGAAAAAAAAATATTGTGGGGCAGGAAGTCTTTCTCACCGAGTTCTAATCCCCCTAGGATCCTGGGCCTATTGCAGTGGAGGGAGGCTTTCTCGATTTGTATTTTAATTTCTCCTTCTTTTGTACGTCTAAGCATTTCTTTCCTTTCTTTTCTTTCCAGGGATGACAGGAAAGTTTCTTGGCAACCTGGCTTTGCTGGAGTTTCCTGGGCTACCTTCCAGGCAAAGGTTTGTGGTAGGCACCAAGGGGACAAAGCAGTCCTAGACCCCAGTCCAGAGGTTGACTGTCCCCTAAATGGATAGACACAGGCGTCTCAAACCCACTCTGGGCAGATTGGCTGGTGGGGAGCTGTCCGTGGTGCTGAAGAGAATCCGGTTGGTGTCCTACCTCGTGCAGGGGCCCGGGCAGTGTGCTTGGGCTCAGGGGCAGGCTGATCTAGACCAGCAGGCTCGGCGACAGGCTGCTGAGGCCTGGTCTTCCTTATAGGCATGGGCTGTGGGAGGACCTGTTTGGGGAAGCCTTTGAAGAACCACGCTCCGGAGCGCTTCCATACCTGGGAAGGAGAGAGGCATAGAAGCCAAGGCCACCAAGCACAATTGCTTTTGCCTTTGTGAGCCAGTACTCATCTTTGCTCCCTGCTCACAGCAGGAAGTCTTCTATCTTCTTTTTGTGGTACTAAGGAATGAACCCAGGGCTTTCACACTGCAGCCTTTTTTTTTTTTTTTTTTTTTTCATTTTGAGACCAGAGCTCACTAAATTGCTCTAACTGGGTTCAAACTCTCACTCCTCTTGCCCCTGCCTCCCAAAAGTGTGGGATCTCAGGTATGTGCCACCACCCCCAGATTATTTCCGTATCTCTTAAATGTGGCACTCCTAAAGGTAGTTGTGGAGTGGCAGCCTCCCCATGGGCTTTGTCCCGTCAGCACCCCAAAGACAGTGCGATAAGCATCTTCGGTGGACCTGTAAGATCCATTCAGCATCACTCCCCACCCAGCATGGCGCCTGGGAAGCTGGGCAGGACAGGGCTCCAGTAAGTGGATGCCCTTGGCTAAGCAGAAGTCCAGAGGAGCTTGCCAGCCTGGAGGAGACTGGTGTCACAGCATTTGTGCCCTGCTGGCCAGAGAGTGACATCACACCAGTGGCACTGACTTCTCAGTCTGTAGCATCTCCCTCCCCACCTATCTGTGCGGTCTCAGGGTGCTAGCGCCTGCCGACACTGAGGAGCCCCTCCATCAGCTGGGATTTCCCTCAACCCTGCTCTGACCTTTGGAAACAGCTCAGACTTTCTTCAACTCCCCAACGACCCTACCCAGAAGGTTTTGGTCATTGAAACTGTTTCAAAGGCAACAAAGCAGAGGCCAGAGAGAGGAGTGGTAAAAAATCCAAAATTGGGGCCAGATGATCAACAAAAAGCAGGTTTCATGGGAGAATGAGCCAGAGACAAAGGAAAGAGAAAGGGGGACAAGGTGTGGAAAGTGTGGGAGGTGAGAGAATAGGGACACAGAAGAGAGAGCAGTAGGGACAGCAGGAGAAATCACCTGAAATGAAGGAGAGAGTCCGAAGAAAGAAAAGATAGAGAGGAGATGTGGAATAGAGGGAAAGAGAAGGCAAAGACGTTGGGAGAGGAAGATGTAGAAGGTGAGAAGTGGGGGTGAGGAGCAAGTGGGAGCAGGAAGGTAATGAGTTAGGAGAGAAGAAGGAAAAGGGAGGAGAAAGTCACAGATGCAGAGGACAAGAAAGGAAATTAGACACTCAGAGGTCGTTTTGCCAGTTTACAGCTGAACTAGTTCCTTTCCTACCACACCCTTAAGGTGCAAGGCCTGCTGAGGATGGAGGGGGCACACGCCTGTAATCCCAGCACTCAGGAGGCTGAGGCAGGAGGATGGCCATGAATCTGAGGCCGGTTTGGGCTACAGTGGTGAATTCAAGGATCAAGCCTAAACTCTGTACTAAGACCCGGACTCAAGCAAAACTAAACAAAATGAGAAGAAACGAAACGAAACAGACAGGAGATTCTACCAAAACCCTCCACTCTTAAAATGCTATCCCATTTCCCTGGCCCCAGGGAGGAAGGAGGGAGCTGGGAAGGATAGGAGAGGGGTGGAACCAGGCCACTCACCTCCCTCTGCTCGATGCAGATTTTGCAGAGCCACACAGGATGTGGGCGGTTGTTGGAAGTCTCCACCCCACACTTGGTGCAGACGTTCTGGGGACAAAGCACAGCCCAAGGCACACTCAGGGGAGAGGTGGGAGTAGGAGAGGTTTGGGGAGGTGGCAGTGGAGCCCCAGGACCTCTTGGTGAAAGGGAGGAACCAGAACTCGCCTTCCTTCCTCACCCTTTCTGCTGTGAGCAAGGCCAGTTAGAATACAGTTCTGATCTGCCTCTTATTCCCAATGACAAGAGCTCGAGTCCTTCTTAAGCATGGGTGAAGGGAATCCCTAAGAGCCCCCATAGGGTCTCAGCAACCACACAGAGGAGGGCATGGACATCACTGTTAAGAGGAAGGACCACATATCCATTTTGTTTACTCATGTACTTCTTTCTTTCCCCAAAGGGTCCAAGACAACATTGACCATGAGAAGAAAGCCAACTCTTCCTGGAGGAAGAAGCGATCTGGGTACAAGCCATGACCAGGCTCCAGAACATTATATTTGGGACTGGGGCTAAAAATTCCCACTGTCTGGTTGGCTGCAACAAATAGGTTTTTCAGAAAAGAGGCACTCTCCCCAGGATTCTATTCTAAATGCTACATAGAGTAGGACAGGCTAAGGTACTGTCCCCAGCCAGGATGCCCCTGGAATTCCCTTGCTGGGGATCGGGCACACTGAGAGATAGTGGTGCCTCTTCCCCTGCTCTGTGAGATGGGAGGTGCTGAGAGCTCACAGAGACTCCTCTCCAAGTATGAGGGCTCTCAGTGCCCCAGGGCTTGGGCTGAGCTGCAGAGAGGCTTCTTAAGTCTTTTGTACCATTCCCCTTGGGGGACAATGCTGAAAGGATGTAAAAATGTCCCCACAAAGTAACAAAGTGTAGGAGTTTTGGAAGAAGAGATGATCAGTGAAGTGCCAAACTCATCAGTAGGTTGGTCCATTATTAATCAGATTGTTGATCTCATAGCTAAACGAGTTCTTGACTGAAGGGGCTGTCAGGAGGAAGAGCTTGGTGGTAAGAAAGAAGCCTGCTGACCCTGGTGTAGAGCTCCTTCCCTGGCTCCTTTTTGGTTTCTCTGCTTCCTGACAGCTCTGAGTTGAGTGAGTTCCTCCTCTAGGTCCCTTCGTCCTCTGTTTCTGCCTTGGAGTCAGCTGACCAGAGACTGAACCCATCAGAAACTGGGAGCCAAAGAAGACCTCTCCTGCCTTAAGCTGTGGGCTTTGGGTCCAGGGATAGGAAGGTCATCGATACAGTTGTTAGCCACAGCCAGGACACTCACAGGCTCTGCCACCCTAGGCTACAAGTTCATTCTGGACAGAGGTCAGTTTCGAGGGAGCATCACAGTTGGCATGACTTCTGGGAAGGAACTACAGTCAGGGTGACCTTAGAAGACAGGTGGGCCTGGGAGCATGCAGGGAGAATCCATGTCCTGCTATGACCCTTCAGAGCCCCCAGGTTTGCACACTCCCCAAACAGGAGCCTGGCATCTCCACAGGTGCTGAGCAGGAATGGAGGTGGGAGGGCCGCGGTACCTTCTTGCAGTCCTCACAGACGACGCAGGCAGAGCCCAGCATCCCCAGCTGTTCCCCGCACAGGATGCAGCGGTTCACCCCATCCCCGGCCACATTCTTCCTCATATTCTCCAGGCGATCCACCAAGCGCCTGGTAGGAGACAGGACAGTGAAAGCCTTGTAGGACTAGGGCCCACCATCATGTCCCCAGGGGCACAATGAGGGTCATAACCTCTGAGCTATAATATCCCTTGGACCTCCACTGGTGGCTGCAGACCCATGCCCTAGAAGGGGCCCATGCTGCTCAAGTTCTGAGTCCTGTTAGGGACACCAAAGCCCTGCTCTGCATCACGCCCCACCCCCCACCCCCCTCCGTCCACACAGCCTGCTGACTGCAGCCTGAGAATCCTATCTGGTCCTTCCCACCTCATGTGATCCCCCAGGGAGCAGCCTTAGCGCCCCAGATCCATTATCCATGTGTCCACACAGTGTCTGTCATTGGCTGTGCTCGTAGGCACAGCACACTGGTGCTCTCGGGCTGAGCCCAGAATCCTGGTGTTTCTCAGTCCCCAACCCTGCCCTGACACCTGCTCTCCAAGCTCTGGAGAGAACACTGTCACCCACCAACTACTGAAGCTGGAAAGGCAGGTTCCCCGAACCCTCTCTTCACCTGGTATTTGGGGACCCAACCCAATCACCCAGGCCCATTGCATGTACCTCTTTAAAATTTCAGGGTCTGTTTCTGTCCCCACCTCCATCCAGCCACTGCCATCTTTCTTCAAGATGGCTGTAGTAAGCTTGTGCCAGTTCCTGCATGTATCTGTGTCCTCAATCTTCCTCAATCTGTGTCCAGCCCCCAGCTATGGTGATATTTGGTGTCACCCTGGCCCCCTACAATGACCTGGCCATTCCTTGGGCCTCTCACGGCCCTCCGTGCTCCAGCCCTGGATGCAATCCTGGTCCTCATTTCCCTCTTCGCCCTGCACTAATGGTCTCTGCAAAGGGTCCCCAAGCACAGGCCCCAGGCCAGCTGCACCAGTGCGATTTCTCAGGCCCAGAAATTCCAGGGCCGGGCCTCCAGGTGGTCCTGACACCTGCTTGGCCTTGCTCTGGGTCCCTGGTCTTCCTTCCATTCCCGCCCTCCTCCCTTCCTCAGGACTTCTGCATATTCTGTTCCTCATGCCTGGCATACACCTTCCATACACACATCTCTTCCTGTTCCTGCGGCATACATGTATGTGAGTGTGCACGCACACACTTTAACACTTGCCCTGCCTCTCCTCACACTTCAGGTTCTAATCTTCGCACCACTTTTTCCTAGAATCCTTCCCTGAGCACCTGTCTTATTTACACTAACCCTGGTGCCTCCTCACGGCACCTGTCACATTTGTAAGCAACCAGATTGCCTACAGTAAACAGTTCACTGATTGTGACATGATCTCTGGCTCCCCTCTGGACTATGGAATCCCTGTAGGCCAGGCACTTGTCTGTCCCATCCCTTATGTGCTCAGAGCCAGCTCAGGGCAGAGCAGGTACATGATGGCTGTTTTTCTTTTGTTTTGAGACAGGGTCTTGCTATGTATCCCAAGCTGAGCTGAGACTTGGGATCCTCCTGCCTCAGCCTCCCAGAGTGCTGGGATCACTGCTATGTGCCACTGTGCCTGGCTTACATGATAGTTGCATCAGGGCCTGAATGAATGACAGCCACTTGCTCCTGCACTGGCCCCTAAACAGTGTGCCGGTGGCGTCTGTGCCTATAGGGCTTCCTATATGCCTGACTCGGTCTGCAGTGCCTTGCCACCCACCCCTAGCAGGTGGGCGCTATTATGGTGCAACTTTGCAGGTAAGGAAAGTGAGGCACAGGAAGTTGAATGACAGCTCTTTGTTCAGACTAGAGCCAAAGTCTTGTGTGATTGCGCTAGAGCTTGTTGCTCTGGCTGTGCACACAGATGACACGGGGACCTTGTGAGAAAGCAGATTCTGAAAGACCAGGCTGGGGAGAGAGAGCAGAGGGGCAGTGTTTCTAGAAGGCTCCGTGTGATGCCATGGGACGCTGCTGGTCCAGGGTCTCTGCATAACAACCAGACACAGTCGTTTAGCCCTTACAGCTGGGGGCCACCCTGCTCCAGGCTCAGGGTTTTATTGCTGTTGCTTTGTTCTTTAACATGTCCTGCCAGTGAGAAGCCACTTCCCCGCCCTTCTGTCCAATGCAGATTTATTGCCCTATTCCAGACCCAGCCAGCTGACCCCAGTAGATTCCCCCCATGTACCCCTCTGTGGTCAGGGTCCCACTGAGGACACCGTGTGCATGAAAACTGATGTGGGGTTGTGGGTGTCCCAACCACTGAGGGACCCTGGCCGTGCCTACTGCAACCCGTGTTGAGTCCCCCAGGGGCTCCCTGGCTCTTCTACTTCTGCTGTCACCCAGCTCAAATGGAAGTGGGAGGAGCCGGGCTGATGGCAGCTCACTGCTCAAGTTCCCCTCTGCTCCCCAGCCCTCCTAGGCTCTTCCCCGGAAGTGAGTCCTATAGGATGAAGGGGCGGGTGGTGGCTGGGAGCAAGCCCGCAGTCTGTGGCCTCGGAATGCCAGCAGTGCTGTAGAGGGGGTCACTGGCGACAGGCACAGAGCAACGCAGTGAGTTTTTATTAGGGACTCACTGAGCTGCACTGCTCACTGGGGCCACCTGGAGATAGTTTGATTTGACTGTGGTGCAAAGAGGAACACGGCCAGCAGAAATTACACTGCAGGTTTTGCTTTCTGGTCCCGGGCCAGCGATGCGTGGCCTGGTCCTCTCACAGCTCCTTGTTGGCCCCACGTGGGGCCACTGGGGCAACAGCGGACACTCTGCCCTGTTGTGCTGTGGGCTGGGTTCTGTGTATTCAGCAATTTTCAAACTAGGATGAAAGCATCCTAGCTAGGCATGGTGGTGTACACCTGTAATCCCAGCACTTGGGAGGCTGAGGCAGGAGGACTGTGGCAAGCTGGAGAGTAGCCTGGGCTACAAAGTGAGCTCAAGGCCAGTCTGAACTGCTCAATGAGGCCCTGACTCAAAAAGACCAAAAAATAAAATAAAATAAAATAAAATAAAGAATGAGAACTTTTTATGTATTAACAAGCAACCAAAGCACAGAGAGGTTGAGTGACTACCTCAGTCACACAGCCAAAAAGCAGTGAAAACCAAGATGCAGACCCAGGAAGCAGACCTGGGGAATGAGTTCTTGTCTAATTGCTCCACCATCCTGCTGCGCACACAGCCACGTGCCAAGTGGAGCCACAGGGGCCCTCCAGCAGTTCAATCTGCCCTGGCCGGTTCTCCCACCTTTCTCACCCCAAAGGACCCTCAGCTGTTGGCATGAGTTGAGTCACACACAGAGCCATCCCAGCTGGTTTTGTTGCCTGCAGTGGAGGCAAGAAACCTAACAGTTGCTGGGCCTGGGGGTGTAGGTCTGCCATTCTAGCAGTCCAGGAGGCTGAGGCTGGAGAATTGAAAGTTCAAGTCCCACTCGGGCAATTTAGCAAGACCTTGTCTCAGAATAAAAAGATAAAAAGGACTGGGGATATAGGTTGGCTTAAAGGCCTGGGCTTCAATTGTGTGCAAACAGTGTACAATTCCCAGTGGAAAAGTAAATAAAAAGATCAATAAAGAACGAGGAAAAAAATTTTTAAAAAGAGGAAAGGAAGGAAGGAGCAAGGGAAGGAAGGAAAGAAGGGAAAAAAAAAAAAACACACAAAGAAACCTAAGAGCTTCCTACATCATTATAGTTTTCCAAAGAACTCAAAACTAAGCCAAGAAATCAGAAACTTCCCCCTCTTCTGTTTCTTTATTGGGTTATTCAGCAGTAGTCAAGTTGTACTTCTCGGCACCACTGGCATTCCATAGGGCTGGCCCAGCCCCCGCACTGTGGTGGCCTGTGAGAGTACAAGGGGCCCCCACACTCCTACTCACCGGAGCATGTTTGTGTTTATCTCTGCTGCTTGTCTGGGCTGCTGGATTAGGTTTTTGTCTGCGAAGTTGTTTCTGGGGTTAAACATAGTCTGCAGATAAATTGTAGGATGCCTCTGATGCCAGCGGATTAAAAGATACTCTGAGACAGCAAGTTGGGCTTGGGGAGGGAGGGAGAGGAAGGCTGTGTTCTGGGAACGGGCCCCTGCCTCTTCCTGTGCCATGCGGCTCAGAGGTCTGCTGACCACCCACAAGGCCACGCAGCCACCTCCCTCTCCCACTCAGTCCTAAAGTTGCCATCAGCATGCGTGGACAGAGACACTTTCCTTGGCTTGCATCAAAGCTCTAAATGGCACGCAAGTCCTACAGGTTCCATTGGCTCGAGAGCCTTGCTGGTGGCCCTGTGGCTGCAGCGTTCACCCTCACATAATTGGCAGATTACCCTTGGCCCAAGGTTTGCAATGAAATATCTTGCCTTTGTTACTATTGTTATTTTTTGTCTCTATTATTTTAGCACTCTTGGGTATATCAAGAGTCTTTAGAAACAAAAGACATAATTTTATTTAGAGCATCCTGGTTTTAGTAGTGGTATTTCCTTTTACAAAATATAGTAATTTTTGGCAACACCTGTACTTTTTTTTCTTCAAAATGAGAAGTGGGTGAAGGCTCTTGTTCAGGTGTCTCTGCTCAGGTCCTTGTTATTTTGGAATTTGGTACAGACTAAGAGGGTGGGTGCGGGCTGTGCCTGCGTCTCTCTGCCTTTTGCAACTAAAATCGGAAGCGAGAAGGAAGCTTCTTGCACTCCACAGCCCCAAAAGCTAAGGCCATGATGTTGAAGGCCAAAACAGCCACAGATTTTAAACTCAGAAATAAAGCTCAGCAGGAAGCGGAATTAACACTGTGTCATGGGAGATCACGGGTTACAAGTGGGTCTGTATCCCGGTGATTAAACATTCCGGCTTTGCTACCCTAAAAAGAAATCCTTGCTTTTATCAGTGTGGGCGGAAGAGCTGCCTGTGCCCACAGACTGCGTGTCAGTCACCCAGCATTGAAGAAAACATCAGTAGCAGGCTTGTGACCCAGTCCTCTCAGGGATGGGTCTGGTTGAGCCCAGATGCAGGCATTGAAGCCTGAAGTCCTGCTGAGAGTCCCCGCGTGGGAGAGCGCTCCTAACATTTATGGCAATCTGGATCATGTCGTGGGAGAG